AAATGGACGTCGCGTGCTCTCTAGGTATGGAGCTAAAAGAAATAGCAGTACTAAAATAATCATGAACCAAAAATAACTAGAAAACAAAAATAACCAGGAATCCAAAGCAACAGTTACCAGAAAAATGCTTGTAGGGCGCAGGGGGGGGGGGGGGCGGGGAAGGAAATTATTCCCAAAATCTGTGGTTGTTATACAAACCGAAGCTATTAATTGTGAGATATGAAAGAACCGTTCCAAAAACCCACGCGAACAAAAAATTTCAATCAATCCATCGCGCAGATCGTTCGAGCAATCAATGCTTAAAACTGATCGGTTTCGCGAAATGTTATCGCAAGACGTTCGACGAATTAACTCGTTCGCCTCGGTTCACTCTAATCGAGGTTTACGAAAGTGAAATGTGCATGTAGGTTCTCAAACGTTCCCAACTCCGTCATCAGAATTCCATCCAATTACCGGACAGACTGTACTTCGATTCGTTGAAATTGTCCCTAAAATGCTTAACCCTCGCGTCGCGTTGGCTGGGTTAACGTTGACCCGGGCGCTACAAGATCATTCACTTCATTACTCGATTTTCGTCGATTAGATCAAATAGATCTGCGAGAAATGTCGTCGAGAATACGCTTCGAAAAATTGCTGAAGCTCGAAATTTCTGTCATTTATATTTATTTATATTTTATTAATTTTATATATCGTATATAGCACAGTTGTACTGCGGGATACCTAATATGGCACCTTTATACCGAGGGTACCTAAGGTACCCAAGATTACCATTCCCGTTGTTCGCAAAATCGTAGGAACAGAAGCAAGCTTCTGCAAAGTGCACACATTTGAATCGACAAAAGGCCAAGTATGAGACGGAAATAAAGATCGACGGTTGAGAGCTGCGAGCACGGAATCCTAGCTCAACGACCGGGTACCCTTGAGAGGATCATCGAGCGGCGACGAACCGCGGCGATAAATTATCACCGCATAATAATTAATTGGATGTCGGTTTGGTGTCCGGCATTGAGCCGGTACTCGGAAATACCGGTGACTATTCGATTCCGTCGAGCAGATGATTTTGCAAGTATGAGAAACCTTCGACGACCGAGGATGAGCAACGTTCGCTTTCGATCCGAGACAGTGTTCCCGCCTGTCTCACCTTCCGAACCGAGAAAAACGTGCGGCGACGCGGTCGGTCTCGAGGCCCGCGCTAGCTGGTCAAAAGACAATTTTCCAACTTCAATGCACTCTGATAGAAATTTTGATACGCTGCAAACGTTCGTTTGTTATGGAATGATTTTTTTCTGCAATCTGACGACTCTTCGAAGCATTTTACTTAAACATTACTTCGATTTCAAAATATTATTAATTTAATATCATTATTAAATATATTGTAATAATTATAATATTAATTATATTATATTGTTATTAATTTCAGAACAAAAGCATGAAATTGTATAAAATATATAAAACATAGAAAGCGTGTATCAGGAAACAGATTTTAATTCTATTATAATTGTAATATATTATTATATTAGCATTTTTTAATGTAAAATTTTAAACTTTTCATAATCTAAACTTTCAATAATTTGATGAGATTTATAAGTAATATTAATAATATTAATCGATTATAAGTAAACAATGTTTATTTCGATAATTTGATTACATTCGTATTTTTAAACTTTTAATCATTTAAACTCTGAGAAGTGTTTCAAAGAAGGTGTTCGGATATGATCGACTTTGAATAACGATGTACAATATCATGACCCTAGAGCGAGTATAAATAACGTGGGAAATAGTGACCGGCTAATCGGAACAAATAACCGATAGCGGCTCGTTCGGATCGCGAAAGTCAACACGACCATTCGGACCGGTGCGCGTAAATCATGGACCGACTCTCCCAAGCAATTTGCGTCGTCAATCAGCGGCCTGCGTCCAAGGCTGGAATATACTTCTTCGACGTTTCGTTCGAGCAATCGGTAAAATTGAAAACGTTATCGTCCGGTTGTTTGTTGGTCGTGTTACGCGACTCGTTTAACCAGCCGGAATGCACGTGGAATTCATATACATACAGAATGAAAAATACAAGGAACTAATAATAATTGTTATATTAATTAATCATTTATAAATAATTAATAATTCTATTAAATATATAATATTATATGTACATCTGAATAATAAATAATTATTTATAAATTAATTAATTAAATAATATATTGATAAAAATTTATTAAATTATTATATATTATGTATTAATATTAAAATTATTATTATTATATTATTATATGTTGATTAAATTAATGTTAAATAATAAATCAATTAAAAGAGTACAACTTCTCAGCAGAAGTTGGGGAACGTCGACAAATTAGTTTCAATGATTCTTTTAACTGCGGCGCATCAAACTGCAAAATCTGGAAAAATTCTGAAGCCACTGTTGCAACAACGTATTGTTATTGTAAAAATATGATAGATGTGCGATTCATCCTGTCATGAGAAATTCGCGTTTTACAAAGGTTTTTATTTTTTACAACCAGGGTTATTAACCTAAAAATTGGAAAAAATTCTGAGAAATGCACCCCGATATCTGTAACATGTCAGATTTTTTTCGAAATTTACGCTCGCGTTTTAGTGGTTAAACGGACAACCTATAATTGAGGGGGTTAACAGTTCCACCGAAACGTTCTCTTGTTATCCTGATTTCGTGGATCGTTCCGCGAGGATACAGGAGTCTCGACTCGTCGGCTGAAGACGGGAATAAAGAGGTCAACGATAGGTTAATATCAAGAAGTGCCCGGCACAGAGAGAGAGAGAGAGAGAGAGAGAGAGAGAGGCTCGCAAATGTAAAGAATGCACAAGGATCCAATTATTATCTACGACGTTTCCGTTTGCCAACGCGACAGTGTTTTTTCTGCTTCGCGGTTTGCCGATTGCGTCGCCTTAACCCGTTAGCCATCGGGATTACGTGCGCACAACATTTTCGAGATTTTTTCACGCCGATTCACGTGTTTTCCGGCCGCGGCGTTGGTTGCGGCAGAGAATTACCAGGAATTTCATCATCGCCTTTTAATCCGCCATTTGCATACCAACGTTCCACTAACTCTGCAAAAGAGACCGTTTTATTACAAAGACAATGGTTATTGACGTGGTTCAGCTGCAAATATTTGTTCTATTGTTTTCAATTGTAACCAATTTTGCAAACTTCACAGAAACAATTCTGTCATTATAAAAAATCTATTCGATATTTATTTGAGTGACCTAGCTTATAACAATAATTAAAAAATATATATATATAATACTTATAATAATATATATATATATATATATATATATATATATATATATATATATATATATATATATATTATATATTATTATATAATAATAATTAATATATAGTAATAATAATAACATACAGTCTATAATAATAATAACATACAGTCTATAATAATAATTAAAATATCTTTTCGATTGTTCTCCACATTTCAATTTTTACCATAAAAATCTCACATTATTTTTTCAAACGGTTCCGCCAAAACGACGTCTCCGATCGTCTCCGCTTCTACCCGACGTGCTCGCGATTGTTTGTTTACCAAACCGGACGACGGGTCAACCCTCTGCGCTGACACGTGACTCGCTCGTGAAACATGTGGCTCTTACGCAATCGCGTGGCCCGCGTTACGCGCGACAACGAAAAATGGGTCGATGCGGACGTGTACTTGTCACACGGTGCCGTGTAATTTCGATGGTCAGTGGAAACGCCGAGCGCGGGGGGGAATTTCTGAGACGCACGGTAATCGCGTCGCTGTCCTCGCACGCACCGCGTACGAGAAAATCTCAGTGAAAGGACAGCCGCGATGCAACCTTTCGCCACACGCCGGCCGCGAGTCCACGGATCTATAGATCCTCTAGTCGACATCCGCACGCGCTCCGTCCCGGCCAATTTCAACTAAGGGGATCTGCCAGTAACGATCATTGGCGTCTACTAATTGGTCTGCTTACGAGAAAACAAGATTAAATTTCAAAGAGAACTATAGTTTATTGTCTCTGAGATAATTAATTGATTGAGCGTACCTAGCGTCTTGATGGCATCTAATGAGAGGCAAACACTATTTTTGTCTTACCTCATGCGTTGAATGCCCCGGTGGGTGACGTTGCGATGCCAAAAGGTCGGTGTGGTCTAGTTGCTCCACTGAGCAATCGGGCTGGTGTCTAGGATATTTGTACTTTAAACTCCTTTAAACTTGCCTCTAAAATGTTTAATTTACCTAGTACCTGGTCCGTAAGGCCCCTAGGTACCTAATACGTTCAGAGTACCAAAGGTCCCTAAAATGCCTAATTTACTCAGGGAGTCCTAGGATTTCAAAGATGATTTTTGGGTCATAGAACAGTATCACTGTCTTACTTCGTACAAAGAATGCCCCGCTGGATATGGTTGCAATGCCCCAAGTCGGTGTGGTATTCTGAGGACACTTAAGGTCCCTAAAGCACCTAATTTACTGGGGGCATCTAAGGTCCTTAAGGCTCCTAATTTACTGAGGGCATCTAAGATCCCTAAAAGAGGGAATCTAAAGTCCCTAAAGCACCTAATCTACTGAAAGTACCTAAGGTCCCTAAGGCACCTAAATTACTGAGGGCACCTAGGGTCCCTAAGGCACCTAATTTACTGAGGGCGTCTAATTTACTAAGGATACCCAAGGTCCCTAAGTCACCTAACTCATCCAGAGTTCCTAGGGTCCCTAAGGTGCCTAATTTCCCCAGGATATCTAGGGTCCAAGTGCTGAACTGTTTCATCTCGAAGAGGTACTCGAAGGTACTTAACATAATCAATGTACCTAGAGTCTCAAAGATCACCTAGAGTATCCAATGCCACCATAGAGCTTCAACATTAAGGATATCAAACCTAAAGTGGTCCTAGTGCTGAACTGTTCAATTATTTGCCTAGGCCGTTCAAGAGACACACTTCCTTTCCAATACGAAGCAGCAAACACGACGCTGACGGCACGACTTTCGGCTTTCAGATGGCGCGCCTTATCAAGATAATGTACGACGGCTACCGGGATCTGATGGACAACAAGAGCGACCCCAGGGTGAACGACTGGGCGATGATGAGCGGCCCGTTCCCCACCTTGGCCATCGTGCTCGCGTACGTATTCTTTGTGAAGAGACTGGGCCCCAAGCTGATGGAGAACCGAAAGCCGTTCGACCTCAGGCGGGTGCTGATAGTCTACAACCTCGTCCAAGTGATCTTCTCCACGTGGCTGTTCTACGAGGTAAACGACCCGTGCGCGGGTTGAACGACTTATCGCCGAGGAATCCGCACGGCCGGGATCGTAAACGACTCTTCGTACCCCCTTTCCTGTTACAGTCGATGGTATCCGGATGGGGAACCCATTATTCGTTCCGCTGCCAACCGGTCGACTACTCGGACAACCCGTTGGCGTTGCGAATGGCGCGTGGTTGTTGGTGGTACTACTTCTCGAAGTTCACCGAGTTCCTCGACACGATCTTCTTCGTCCTCCGGAAGAAGAACGAGCAGATCACCACGCTGCACGTGATCCACCACGGCTGCATGCCCATGTCCGTGTGGTTCGGCGTCAAGTTCACCCCTGGTAAGGAGGCGGCTCCAATTCTTAATTGCCCAACTGATAGCTTGACTGCATCCCGAAGGGGATACCAGGCCTGCGGCGGTTCCAGTTAGCAAAGCGACCGGACTCTCCACCAGCTTGCACACGGTTGCGCAATGCTTTACGCTCGCCTGTATATGGCCGGGTCGAATATCGGCAGAGCCAACCTTGCGAAACGGCGCGACCTTGCGTGTCATTGCAGAAAGCGGTTCCCAGTCTCATGGTGATCGGCTTAGGCCTGGTTCCGCCGGCCGCAAGAATGATGATCTCCTTCGAATTATGTATATATTATTAGCAGCCCGCGCCAACGGGATGTTAGTGGTCACCTGGATGTCGCTAATGAGCCGTTTAGATGATAATTTGATCGTCGCGGCCAAGGAGAGTCCAGGGGCTCATTATTGAGAAGCGCGTACATTAACGGCTGCGGGCTTCCTTGTTGCCTACGCGAGCCAATCGACACGCGAATCTTACGAAATTCCATTTTCTTCCGCTACGTGTCACCTCGGTGCAAGATAGACGATCGCCGGGTCGAATCCGGTTTCTTGATTGTGTCCCGAAGTTATGTCAAGTCCGAGAATCGTAGGCAGGCTCGATTCGGCTGAATATTAATAAGGGCTATTCGGAAATCCAGGAAAAGAACGTTGGAACATTAGCATTATTGACTCATCCGTGCACGAAGATTCTATTAGTCCTAATCCACTTATGAGTCACTCACTCCGCTATGGTGTCTACTTCCTTCTGAGTCCCTAGCACCTGGAGCCTCTAGCATCTGAGTCCCTAGCACCTGGAGCCTCTAGCACCAGGACCCTCTAGTACCTGGTGCCTCTAGCAACTGAGACCCTAGCATCAGGAGCCTCTAGCACCTGAGTCCCTAGCACCTGCAGCCTCTAGCACCTGAGTCCCTAGCAGCTGGAGCCTCTAGCATCTGAGTCCCCAGCACCTGGTGACTTTAGCAACTGAGACCCTAGCATCAGGAGCCTCTAGCACCTGAGTCCCTAGCACCTGAAACCTCTAGCATCTATGTCCCTCGCACCTCAATCTTCCTGGAGTAACGGCGAAAGTCTTCGAGGACCTGGCGACCGGTAGCCGTGGGACTCTCTTACCCTTTGGATCCCTAAACAGCGAGCGGTCGCTAAGAGCACCTTTTTGTTCCCCAGGTGGCAACTCGACCTTCTTCGGATTGTTGAACACTTTTGTACACATCGTGATGTACACGTACTACCTGCTGGCCGCCCTGGGGCCCAAGATGCAGCCGTACCTGTGGTGGAAGCGGTACCTAACCGTCCTGCAGATGGGGCAGTTCGTGCTGGTGATGGTGCACGCGGCTCAGCTGTTGTTCATCGAGTGCGACTACCCGAAGGCATTCGTCTGGTGGATCGGCATGCACGCGGTGATGTTCTACTTCCTGTTCCGCAAATTCTACGAGTCCTCGTACAAGGGGAAGAAGCCGAAGTCGTCGAAGAAGGACGATGACGCGGCGCCAAAGCAGCAGGCGGAGCCCGTGACGGCGGCTAGCGGGGACGCGAACGAGAACGGCGCCATCTACGCGAACGAGTACAAGATGGCGACCGGGTACATCTCGGACAGCGGCCTGAGGAACCGCGTGTTCATTGACAACAGGGGCTTCAAGGAGTAACCGGACTGTCTCGGGCCGCCGATCGATTGGCAACCAGGCTGGGTACTGCGACCCGGACCCGCCTGACGGGCCCTCGCGGCGCAGCTGGCCCCTGGATCCTTCGCGGACTTACCTTGTAGACGTGTATGTGGACACTTTGTCGAAGATGTCCGGACGGACCGCTCGCGACGAGCGGGGTTCGGCGAGTTCGCTCGCCTAATCGCGGGCCCCTCGCCTGGGCCCGACGCTCCGCGCAACGGTCATTATCCTGCCCGCGGGATACCTGCGTACGGAACGATCATTTTCACGCTTTCTGTGCGTGCGCGTGTAAGTCTGTGTGGCTGTGTGCGTGAAAGAGAGAGAATGCGCGCGTAGATCCCGGCTCGGACGAGATTCAACGTGATTAGGGTAACGGCGGAGCAATCCGGGACAACGTTGCTCCTACTACCGACGGCGATCACTGATGGCAAGAGCGACTGGGATTGCTCCGCGGGGCAGACGGACCTCGAAGAGAGAGATAGAAGACTAGTTTCGTCTCGCTCGATGCGTAGAGTGCCCCTTGTGGACGTGGTATCGCTGCGTCGAGTGGGCGTGGCATTGCTGTGTCGAGTGGTTGTGGCATTGCTGTCTCGAGTGGGCATGGACTATCATCATGAGTAACGTGGTCCTACAGCTCTCGACCGGAGACACACTGCCTCTAGTGGACGTGATATCACCGACCTGCTGCAAAGAAACACCCACATGCTACCCCTAGTTAGCGCGATGTCACTATCCCTAATGCGCACGGTGTCACTGCTCTTAGCAAGTGTCATTGCTGCACTTAGTGAGCGTGATGTCACTGCCCCTAGAGGTCATGAACTCACTGTTCTATCAAGATGTAGACCTGCTGCCTCTTGTTAGCCTGATATCACTGTCCCTAGTGCGCATGGTGTCACTGTTCTACCAAGATGTAGACCTGCTGCCCCTACTTAACATGTTATCACTGGCCCTAATGGACGTGGACTGATCACGCTACTAAGACGCAGATTTTCTGCCCCTAGTAAGCATTCTGCTAGTGGGCGTGGCCCCGTTACCCCCCAGTAGGCGCGGTCTCGTTGCTCCCAGTGGGCGTAGCCCCGTTGCTCCGAGCGGGTGTGGCCCCGTTTCCCCGAGTAAGCGCTTCTGCTTACGTACAAACAGGGTTGGGCAAGAACTTCCACTGTAATTTCTACCCAAATCAGTCGACACTTGCAGCTGAGAACATTGAAATATCATGATTGGTTAACCGATTCAATTACTTCTTGGTCAACTCTGATGCAGGGTACAAAAGTTGGACAATATTTCGTGCGAAGCTCGTCGTCGGGATCCCGGGAATTTGTAGATCGGGGCCCACGGTCGATCGGGCCGTCCCTCGACGAATGCTCACGGCGATCCACGAATCCTGTCGCGGGCTTTGCCGCGACGTTCTCATTGCTCAAATCGACCAGCCTCGATTAACTCCTACTTTCGTAGGGTAGCCGTGTCGTCGTCTGTACCTCGATCGGCGACTCCGGGTGATTCGTGGCGGGACCCGATCGGTCCGTGGGCTGTCGATTCTTGTTCCGGAAGTGCTTTATCGGTTTCATAGGGAACGTTGGTGACTTGGTAACGGAACTGCTCAGCGTGGACATTACGGGTAATCGATAGATTCAATTCAATAATTCGTTTTTTTCCGCCGACCCAATATTTTTCTTCCGAGTTCGTTTTAGAGTTACATTTCTGTGGCGTTCGATGCCGCGGGGTCATCGGTGACCCGGCCCTATGCTAATCTACTCGGCTCTGCGATTTTTCTCTCCTACCTTCACCGGCTGGAACTTCTCCATCGGTCGTCATTGTTGTTCGTTTCGCCTGGCATCTGGTAACATTTGATTACGCTGTTGGCAATATTCAAACATTAAATTGTACGTATGATAATTACGGCAACGATGCGGTAACAACGATGGACTGTGAACGACGGAGATATTCTTGACTTTGGCGGCTGTAAATAGCACTGATATTTCCCGTGAACGATGTTTGTAAAATTTATGCGGCATTTAACGTAATTAAATTGTCTTCCTGTATTTGTTAGAGAACCGAGCGGTATTGTTGAAATGCGTGGAACGCGTTGCCTCGGACCGAGACAAATCGAAAGCTTGGCTGGGCCTGTACATGCGAATGTGTACCACATTCTGAACGCGTAGGATAAGTAATTTTGTACGATACGGACAGAGCTCGCTGATGAGAACAAGAAATGTATTTATTTTAACGTCGAATAAACTGTATTGTGTTTTGCATGAATCAATTTCGTTTATTGCTCGCCGCCTCTCCGAAACCTTTTGTTCCATTAGCGTTTTTAAACGAAATTCAATTGACTCTGCGTAATGCATCTACAATGACGTTTACAAGAAAACGTGAAAAAAATTTGTTTTTCAATATAGCAATTAGCATTAGCATACCGCGGAGGACAGTTCGCGACCTCTGGTGGCGTTCTCGAGTACCTCGTCTCTGATAAAACTGAGAACCAAACACAGAAAAATATATAAATAGCTATATATATATATGGTAAATTGTACGAGGGCATTTAACGAAAATAAATAAAATCTTATTTTATACAAGTACTACTTAAAACTTAAGTATGTTATTCATTTTAAGGATATTTAACCTTAGTAACACGTTAAACTGAATTGTTTTGATGTTACATACTCATCACGAACACTACTTTCTACATTACCATATGATTATAATAAATCGTAGCCGAATTGAAGTATACAGAATACTCGATTCTTGTTGACATAACCTAAACTTCTGTGTTGTCCGAGACAGACCTGTCGTCTCTATACCTCGGTAGCGAAAAAATATAGTACATTTGATTCTTACTAACTCGTGAGTGCCATTGGTGCTGCCGTCAGTGTCAAATTCTGGAAACATACGATACATTTAACTATGTGTAACTATGTCTCTTAACTATGTCCAACTAAACTGTAATTTTAATTGTAATTTTCATACAATACATTTCATTTTGTTATGATACATTCAATTTGTATGATACATTCTCAAACATAAACGTTTATATAACATAACATAAACGTTTAAATAACAGCTAGAAATAACAAATTTATCAATAGAATATTTTCGATGCAATAATACTCCGACACATTCCTGTCATAAAAATAACTCTGTACGCTTGATGCGGTTAATTATTTCCATTAATAAATTAAATGGCAATACTCAATTATGTCTATAACAAACGGAATTGTTTTAAATATTAAGAAGCCAGAAACAATGAATCCATCAACAAAAGGAGTTCGATTTGATGACCCATCGATCGATTTGTGCAATTAAAATTCTATTGTTATTTAAATCTCGTTGGCATTTTTTATAATAACATTTAGACGATGAATCAGTCTTGCGAGCACTCGATAAAAACCTTACAAAATAAATAGTTGGAGACATTAAATAATTGGAGAACTTATTAAAAATATCGATCGTCATCGATCACGACGATCAACGCTCATCGAAGTCGGTGGTGGGGGTTGCCTGTCTCGGTTACTTGTTCGACTCTGTGCTATGCTACTTTCCTGTCCAGTTTCTCCTATTTTATTGAACAGAGAATTCTGAAAAAAGTCATGAAGTTTCTATCTCCTTAGATACACATTTGAGAATTTTTTCAGATTTTTTCATTATAAAACCGATATTCGAAAAATCAAAAAATATATATTTAAATTGCCGATTTTATATTGACGTTGTAAAGTAACCACCTTTATATTTTCACAGCTTTTGCCATTTGTTATAGTTAATAACATATAATTTTGTCTGATTTTTCGAAATTGGGCTACGTATCTAGAAAAATGGAAAACTGACTTTTTTTTACTTACTTAGCACGCTAAGCTCTCAGCACCCTTAAGCTATCATCAAATAATTGTAATCTGCAAGCCTAAATACATTTTTATGTATTACACAAACCAATGCAACTGTTCGAAAAAGGTGAAATGAACCAAGTCCGTGTTACTCATAAAAGTTTCTTGTATTTCTCATTTCTCTCTTATGTATATTCACAAAGGACAATTACATCTTACTTATAACATATTTCATCATCTAAATGTACCTCTTACGTCGATAATAGTCATCGATAGCAATGATCAGTTGTATATTTTATTACTTATCGTCTACGAAGTCGCTACTAAACACTAAGCATACTCTGTGTGTGTGTTTGAATGCTGTGTATGTATGTATGTATGTGTGTGTATGCTGCATGTGACTTGAGAGTATATGTGATGTGTTTGTGTGTGACCTGTGTCCGAATCTCCGTGTTTGTGTATGAGTGCGTATGTGTGTGCTCTGTTGTGTCCGGTGTGTAAGTGTGCTCTATGCGTGTAGATCCTGTGTGTGTGTGTATGTATGTATGTATGTATGTATATATGTATGTATGAATGTATGTATATGTGTGTGTGTGACTCATCGTTCAAGCACACCCGCGCTTCACACGGTCGCGTCCCGTCACGCGTCGTCGCGCGCGCGCGCACATCGACTGTCCAACGTGAACAGATCCGGACGGATCGAAAGACGATCGAGATGCGCGCCGATCGACGCCCCGGCATTCCTTGTACCCGTACGGACGCCCAGCTGCGCGATACCGATGCACATCGAAAATAGACCATACGAAACGAGAATCTGTAAAACAGGGGGGGGGGGAAGGAAGTCACGTTTACACATCATCGTCACGGTACACGGCTACGACAAACAAACTCTGTTCCGCGCAAACAATTTTACTCATATTTTTCTACCGCGTGGTTTCGCACACGTTCTCACACTCTCGTTCACCGCTGATCGATCAATCGAGTTCCATTGTTTCTCGCTTAAAAACTCTTTTCACTGGTGTCTCGCCGCATCCCTTTCGCTGATTCGGCTCGTTCTTTTCGTTCACGCGGTTCCTTTTGGCGCGATCGAACGGCGAAAGGCGGCTAAACGCTTTACAATATATATATATATAAATATAATACTATATAAATATAAATATAATATATATATTTATATTTATATATATTGTAAAATATATATATATATAAATATAAATATATATATATTTATATTTATATATATTGTAAAATATATATATATATAAATATAAATATATATATATTTATATTTATATATATTGTAAAATATATATATATATAAATATAAATATATATATATTTATACATATATATTTATATATATATATTTATACATATATATTTATATATATATATATATTTATACATATATATTTATATATATTTATTTATTTATACTCATTATAAAACTTACAATTTAACTTACGACCATCTATCTTTAAATCGTCAATATATTAGATTTTCTTCTCCCATTCGTCGCGATTACTTTTTCATCGTTTAATCTCGCGTAAATAAATATTCATAAATACATTTCGGCCCGATGCGGCCGGGACCGTTCTCTCGATGGATTTCCTACCCGGTGACCCGCGGTTTATCTTCGTCGGCCGAGGTGTTCCCCGGCGGCGCTATCGTCGCACAGTGATTCCTCACCGTTCCGATCACGGCGGTCAAGTGATTCGACCAGATTTCAAGGCGACGGGGGGTGGGGACAGATCACGCGGCGCGACGGACGCCGCCGATTCGCGGCGCGCGGCGCGCGCTGCTCGCGTTCCTATACAACCGCCGCGTTACGTGACCAGCTCCACGCTCCGCCCATTTGAGACCCGGCCCGATCGACCGACTGCCACGGTTCCGATTCCCCGTTCGAATAACGCGCGTCCTTTGCGTCGCGAGCAACCGCAGCCTACTCGATTTCATAAATAATCTAGCTCGCGTTTTCCGTCCGTATGTTCGCGTCTCGTGTCGACGATCGGGACGCCGAGGACTTGTAATCGATCGAGGCAACAACCTCTGACCCGCGTCGCGGCCCGAATTTCGATTTAAAATTTCTTCGTGGTTCTTTCATCCAAAAATATATGTACACATATGTTTATCGGTGTATACGTAGCGCTATATTCCGTATGCCCTATTCTTTTTTTCCATTTTTTTCGGGGGCTGGGGGGAGAGGGGATACATTTTGGTACCAAAAGTGCAAAAATCCTGAGCGAGCCGATCTCCGCTTTTTCTTCTCTCGTCGAGTACGTTTTTTTGTTTCCTTTCTTTTCACCAACAATGTCCGAGTCGGCCTGCGCCCACAGGATCGATCGATCGAGCGTTACCGTTACGAAATCGTGCTCTGGCGATACTTTGAAAACGATTCGGTAAGAGAAGAAGATGATATGTACTGCGTTAATTTTTTCTTCCGGGAAAGTTCAAGTTGCTTCCAAGGTAGTCCAATCGCGTCTCTCCATTTCTTTTCCATCGCTTTTGCTAATTAATCGCTAATTGGTAAACCGAACGCGACGATTAATTATTGAGAAAACAAATGAGAAAGCTCGGTGATCCCGCCTGTGCGCAAGGGCCGACGTACATGTTACGTAGACGCGGTCGCATGTTTCATTTCCTTCGCGTATAACAGTAATAATAATAGTAATAATAATAGTAATAATAATAATAATAATAATAATAATCATAATAATAATAATAATAGTGATAATCATAATAACGATAATAATAATAATAAAAACGTCGCACGATTTTCGCAGGCCCGTTATATGCTGTTGTCGAAACGAAAAACCATTCGTCCTTCTCTCCCATCCGTTCCCTGTCCTCAGAGAAAGACGCGATCTCTTTCTTCCCCGCGGCGATCGGACAGCCGCACAACCAGTCGATCAACTATTATTACTATTTATCATTTTTGTCGGTCGACTCGCATCGAATCGATCATCCCAATTGTTTCAATCTGCATCAATCGTTTTCATAAGGCGGACATGAGTGTTTTCACAATTCTTTCATCCTCCTCCTCCTCCTCCTCCACTTTTGTTTCTTTTCTCTTTATTATTATTATTATTATTTCCCACGCGAGACAGAATATACAGCTAACTGTATTTCCGGCGGTTTGTAATTTTCACTTTTGTATCTTGTCGTCGTAATTACATCTATATATATTTATATATATAATATATATATATTATGTATATATACACTATATAGTGTTATATAGTATATATATAGATACGTTCGCTACAAACTATTTAAAAAATTTGTTCTTCCTCGCTTCACTTCACCATCTCAAACTTTCACACACCCCTTCGTCATCACCATCATCATCATCATCATCATCATCATCATTATCTTCATCATCATCATCTCCAGCATCATCATCATCGTCTCCAGCGTCATCATTATTATCATCTCCTGCATCATCATTATCATCATCATCGTCGTCATTATCATTATCATCATCATCGTGATCATTATGATCATCATCATCATTATCATCATCATCATCATCATTATCATCATCATCATCATATCATCATCATCATCATCGTCGTCGTCATCATCTTCGTCGTCATCGTTCTCGTCCACGCACGATCATGCTTGACGATCGGCACTCGTTTGTTTATCTTTTTTTGTTCGACAATCGCTTTTGGTCGACGGGACCGATCGGCGACATGTTAGGTAGGAGACGAAATGAGGGGTCCTTCTTCAGGACGCTTGAGAGAGAAAAAGAGAGAGAGAGAGAG